ATGTTTTTATAAAAACCTTAGATGAGCTCACCTGGATGGATGCTGAAACCAAAACCAAAGCAGAACAAAAAGTAAGTTCAATCTTAAATGTTTGCTATCAAACTGAGGTGTGGGTTAAAAAACTTTGTTCAGGACTTCAAACTGTCAGAATCTGGAAACATTTAAATAAATTATTTCATTTCAATGTAGATGAGGGAGTTAGTCTGGGTACAGACCCAAATTGAGATGAACTGTACACACTTGTGGAAACTTGTAAGTGTGTCTTCCTATAAAGTACTAAAATTAAAAACCATCCAGATATTAATTTTATTTCTATTTTAGATGCTGTCAAATATTTCAGGATTTCAGCTATTTTTTAAACTACCCTTTCAACTCAAAAGTGTAGTTGAAGCATGTTTGGCTGTCCTGTAAACAATTCTATAAGTTCCTTTATAAAGTAAGGAATAAAACATACTTTCTAGAAGTTTCCATTTTTAAGTTATAATTTACTATAAACTTTACAGTGCTTTCAATGAGTAAAAAAAATGTAAACAAAACCTGTGCTTAATTAACATTCTGAGGTTTCTGCAGTTACATCCATATTGCATTTATTATATAATTTATGATGGTTTAAAAATCTGGCTGTATTTGCTATGGATATTGAATTGTCTTGTCCCTAGGCAAGAGCAATTAGAGAGAGGATTGGTTATCCCGATGAGATCGTGACTGATGATGATAAGCTGAACAGCGAGTACCAGGAGGTAAGTATACACAATGAGCAATATAATTAGAAAAGGCTCTTAAGAGAAAAAATTGTGTATTTGCCTTCTTAGCCAATCTGAACCACCTGCATCTGTACAGAGTAACTATCCTGCGCTCCATTGCACAGGTGTAAATAAGTATGTAATAACAGCCAGCGTGGTACAGCTGATCCAGTGCAGATGCTGGTATTTCATAACGTTTCAAGAGAATGAACAAATTTTAGAGAAATGATGCTAGAATAAAACATGAAGCCAATGGTTGTCTAGCCAGTATTTATAAATCGGCCACCAGCTGATGGAACACTGAAGTGGATGCAAGTACACATAATTTAGGAACTGTGCCTATTTATCCATGGCTTGGAATCAGTCCCTGAAGTGCAACATTGGATGACCTGTGTAATTTAAACTGCATGTGAGTTTTTTCACTGCAAAATGTAACCTCAGTGTTCTTTTACCTCACAGGTTCATTTGTCAGAGTAATTCCATTAGTGTGTCTAGTATGTATGTATCTTTGTGCAGAGTATGTCTTACAAGTCCAAGTTTTAACTTTGAAAACTACAAACATATAAACAAAGTATGTTTTCTAAAACACCATTTGAGCCTCATTCGTGTGTTCTTTCTAAGGCAGAGTTGCAGGTTGCCAAGCTGGTACCTACTGGTTTCAAGCAGGCAGCTACCAAAGGTTAGGGTCAAACCAGCAAATAAATGCTGAACTCTACTCAACATACATATATAAAGAGGGAATAAAGACCTCTGGAAAAAATGATGCAGCTGCTAACATGTATCTAGCTACAATATCAACTCTGATGTAGCAGAGCACTTCCAACTAAGTTCAAGCTGTAGACCAAAAAATACTCAAAAACATGTTGCTTAGCACATTATGCTTAAGACTAGATTTTCCAGATCTACATGTCTTTTATTGCAAATCAGTTAACACCACCTCTAAGTACTTTTCCCTTTCTTTTTAGCTGGACTACAAAGAAGAAGAATACTTTGAAAACATAATTCAAAATTTAGTATTTACCCAGAAGAAAAGGTTGAAAAAGCTTAGAGAAAAGGTGGACAAAGAGGAGTAAGTATTTAAAAACACTGTATAGCCTTTACCAGTTTCCATGGGAGCTACTTAAGAGGGTAACTGGTGATGAAGTAACAACCTTCCTTCTGCACTTTTCTCTCCATGAGGAGGGCAGGTGAAAGGGCATTGATCATTTCTTAAAGGCCAGACCTACATTAGTAAGGAGGGCAAAGAAATGAAGAGATGGTGCAGAAGGTTAAGTACTCTGGAGTAGCTCTAGTCTCGTCCCATAGCCCCTGGATTGGATTAAGTGGATGCTTGGAGAGCAGCTTTTTGTAAGTTCATCTGAAACATTAAATTAATCCCTGAGGGTTTTGCTTCTCTTGCTCAGAGACTGCATGAGGAAAAAGAAAGGATGATTAAGTGAAGATGAGCAGGAATTTATTCCAGAAATGTATTCCTGCTCTGAATTAAAATATTATATATTACTATATATGGAATGTAGATGTACCAAAAGACTGAGATGGCACATCTCCTAGCTGTCCTGGCTACTCTTCCTGTTTGAACCAGATCAGAAAAGTTACTTTGGTCACCACAGGACATGCTAACTCTGCAGAACTGTTCACCTGAACAAGGGCTGCAGAGCTGGACTTATGTTGAGGGGAGGCTATCAGGACTAGCTTTGTATGGTCTAAAAAAGGAGACTGAGGGAAGGGCTGTTGCTGTCTTCAGCTACATAATGGGAAGAGATACAGAGAAGCCTGACTCTTCTTGGAGTTGCACAAAGATAGGATGAGTGAGAAGAGACACAAGCTTGAACACGTGAATTCTGACTAGATGTTAAGAAAACCTTTTCACTCTGTCACAAAAGACTCAGAAAGGCTGTGAGATCTCCATGCCTCCATCCTTGGAGATCCTGAAATGTTGAATGGACAAGCCACCTTGTTCTCATAAGTGTATAATAATTAGGAGTAACTACTGTAAGTTTAGCTGCATTCTAAGTTTACCTAAAATGAGCCTAGAAGCATCACCCACAATTGATAATCCTCTGGTAGGTAACATTTATTCTGCAAATTAATTTTCACTTAATCGAGCAATAGCCACTGTTACAATACTTTGCACAGTGTATGACTGGCATATGCAGTAGTTATCAAATAGATAATTTCTCACATAAATTAATCTCACTCAGAGAGCATGGAGCCAGGAAAAACAACTTCTGCTGTGTAAGACCCAGCTATTTTATTTTATAGAGCCATTATCTCATTTTCTCAAACATCTTTTCTGAAATATTATTAAATGTGTACACCAGTGAACCACATCAAAATGCTAGCCCTGCTTCTGATTCGAGGAATTCCATTAGGTGATCAGTGATGAGAGCCAGTAAAACTGTGAAGGGGGGGAAGAGTTAAAGCTTATTATTTCCCCTGTGTTAAAGTGGACCCAAAAGCAATGCTGAGAGCCTGCATCAAGGAAAGTAGATATTACATAAAGCATACGACTATGAATGAAGCCACACCTCTGCCACAAGAGCTCATGATGATCTTTGTCTTTACCTTCATTGCTAAAGAAATTGTGTTAAGGAAAAATTATAATCAGCTCAGATCTGCTACTCCTAATGCACTGCTTTTTGAGATAGCTGGATGTGTGACAATGATAGGTGACATAGAAATCCTTTTAAGTAAGCAGTCTTAATTAAGTTGCATTATCCCCAAATGTTTATATAACCTTGTAACCTCAGGTTCTGTGTTTCGGTTTCTTTATTTGGGAAATTTTGCCTGGACAGTGCTGCAGTGTGAGTGGAAATAGAAATAGAAAATAAGTATCATTGTTAATCAGTTTGAATAACAAAGGGAAAGGCCTACAGAAATGATTAGGGGACTGGTGTGCCTGACAGAGGCCAAGTGCACTGGGGTATTGCACTTGACAATCTCCAGTTCCAACCTCAGTTATTCTTTGATTCTGTTACTCAGTTTCTGGGTTTGTTCCAGTAATCATTAACTCTGCCACTAAGAACTGAAATTCTAACATTTATTCTTCTGTTGTTACTAGGTGGATAAGTGGAGCTGCTGTTGTCAATGCCTTTTATTCAGCGAGTCGAAATCAGATAGGTAAGGCTTACCAGTTTACTAACTGGATACAGATTTAATGTATTTATTTATACATTAAAGTATAAATAATGTATTTTTTTTTTTTAATCAGGAAGTGAAGTGATATTAATACAGGGGTTGCAGAGTAGCTTCAGCACAGCAAAATTGGAGGTTTCATTCATAGTGTTTTCATCTCATGTTTTGAATTGTCTTGGTGCAGAACAGAGACAGAGGCTTGAGATTTAGCCATGCAAACAATAGCAGTGTGGATTAGTGAGATTAACAATCAAGCAAATTTGGTGGGCCCAGTCTTTTCTTTTTAAGGGATGAAGAGGGGGTATGCACCACTTTTACCTGGCTAACGGGAAAGTCACACAGCTTCCTGCCATAGAGTACACATGGTTTCCATTCCTTATAGCCCCTTCACAGTCTCTTTGTACAAGCTTCTTCAGTATGGCTTTGGAATGATGCTCAGTTTCATCCTGCTGGTTAATAAATACACTAGTTCATTGGCTGAACTCCTCAGAATCCCGTAAACTGCTCAGAATCACATGACAGGCCAGAATTACACTTTGATTTCCATAAAGGTAATTGCAGAACATGAGACCAGTCTGAAACAACTCATATGATCAAGGCAACAAATATTCTGCCTTTGATGATGAAGTAACACTGAATTATCAGTGCAAAACCCAGCTTATTCTCAGTTTTTATTTCCTCATTTCCAGCACTTTCCCTATGTAGCTGTAAGATCCAGTGCTCAGCAGACAAGACTCCAGTGATTAGCTTCACATAAGCTGTGCTGAGCAAACCTGGTCCCATGTGGCAGGAGACCAAGAGCTCACGAGTCACTCACTGCTTCTGGAGCGGACGGTCACCAGTACAGAGCTGCTTCAAGTCCTAGGCATACAGAGAGCCTACATGGCTCTGTCACCACCTTCTTTATGTAAAAATAATCATGACAATTGGAATAAAATATTGGGCTCAATGAAACAAGCATTTCCCAAAAGTCAGAATTTACTCACCACTTCAAGAACTGTGAACCACAGCATATCAGAGCTCCATACTAGTATTACTTTAAATAGTCCCATTTAAATTGCAAGTCTTAACTCATAGCTATCGTAAATGCAAAGTCCTAATGTACACTCTTATAAGAAACGTGGCTTGAGAAAAGTTTAAAGAATTTTGAGGCATCCTTAATTTCTGTTTTTAAGATTTAAAGTCTGCCACATGACTTCAAGTTCGCTGCTGATGTGGCATTTAATTCTGCTTCTTCTGTACTGGAAAAAATGAAAATGAAAACCTGGTAGATTAAACCAAGGAAAAAATTAAGAGAAAAGTTCATTACAGTGAAATAGGTTTTGTAATGATTTTGGGTAGAAGCATTTCTAATGTCAGCCTACCCAAAACTATCTATGATTAAAAATAAGAGAGAAGGCACTAAAATGGTTTTAAAGACACTAAAAAAAAATAAATCCATTTTAGCTAAAGATTAGAACATGGAAGCACAGAGGTTTGTCATCTTGTGAACCATACCAGCTCTCTTCACAGTGCTGCAAGAGCCACAGAGAGTTTTCAGCATTAATTATGCCTAACAATATTTCTGTCAGATCTGTTCTGCAAGTATTGCTGTTTTCTACATTTTATACATTGCAATGTCCTTTCTAAGCCATTAGTGAGGTACTATAATCCACACATAACTCCTGAAAATAATTCTCTACAAAACGGAAAAAAGAAAAAATGGAAAAATAAAAATAATTAACCCCCCCAAACAACAACAATGCCAAACCAAACAAAAAAACCAAACAAACAACAAAACACCCTTGTCCTTCCGGGCTCTGCACAGAAATGAAACAGTATCATTTCTTATTTATTTATGGACTCCAAAGAAAATGTTTGGAGGAGACATTATTTTCATTGCTGGGGGTAAAATTACCACTTCTTCTCAGCCTTCAGTAGTGGCTTCTGATATAATCTCACTTCTTTTACCAAACGAACCATTAAAGCAAGGTGAAAAATATCAAAATATCAGCTACTATCTTTCCCTGGGTTGACACTGGTGTCAAAAGTAGTGTCACTCATCTGCATGACTGCCACTACCAGACAGACTCCAGTAGCAGCAGTGATCTGAAGCTTCGCTTTGGGACCAAGTCTCTTACTACATGGCAAAAAAAGCACTCCCTGCTGTTCAGTCTGCAAGTACAGCTACACTAAGCCAAGTGGATGAAATTTTCTTTCAGATTTTTCAGGGTATGTTTAAAACAGCATCCTAACAATTTCACAATTGGTGTTCTCTGTGTAAAAACAAAGTTCTGCAAGCGCAGAAATTTAAGGAAAGAGCAGTAGGTTTATAATGGAAGACATCAATAAACTAAGCCAAGCTTTCCAAAGGATTATTCCTTTTTAATTATTTTTGACCCCACTGAAGAACTGAGGAAGATTAAAAAAATAAAAACTAAAAAAAAATCCTGCAATCCTAGATTTTCAGGTTTTACAGAGTCAGGGGATCCATTAAGCAGATTTATGTTAAGTATGATCCTGCCTTCTACTAGTCACCTGTGTCTTTGAAATAGCTTGCATTTTCAGAATGACAGAGAGCACTGTTCTGGGCACAGTGGGACTGCATCACTGTCAGCCTTACCATCACACAGGCAAGAATGAGGAGGTATGGAGAAAACTCCTTGTATTGGTGCACTCAATAGCAGAACAAAAGAACAGAGTCCACTACAGATGGTGCTGTTTGCACAGGAATTCAGCCTACAACACTCACCTATTTTTAGGCTTCATGTCATAGTCAAACCTTTGATGATAACTTGGAAGATTCATGAAATTTTCCAGTTAACCCAAGCTGCTTTTGCTTTGCAGTGGGCTCTAAAGGTAAAACATGAAATAAGCATTGTGAAATCCAAGACAGACTTCACGGAGAGAAAACCACATTGACTTAACTAACCAGCACTGCTTGGTTAAGGATGGCAAGATGGTACAGTTTGACAGGAGGTAAAGCTAAGCGAGCAGTTAGCTCAGTACTCAACATTTAGCTCAAAAATCTGCTCAGAAGGTTTTGTTTAAAACAGCTTTGTTCGATGATTTGTAGAAAAGGAATAATGATTTGGGAGACTGAAACTGGTGGTTAACATGAGCCATAAATGATTACCTCATCCTTTAACTATGGCATGCCACAGGATAATTAAAGCAGTGTGATCTTTAGTGATGTCTGAATTAGCTTAGTATTATGCTTTTAAAGGAAAAAAAACACAAAACCTCTGAGGAGGAGTTCTGTGCATGATGCACAGGAAATTTAGAGCTCCATTATTACACTTTAACATGGTCTGATCTTCACTGTTCCATCAGCAGCTCTGATCATCAGAAACCCACTCAACCTGAGAAATATTAGCAAAACTGCTGCTAGTAAGGCGGGCCACTATGTGTTCCTTTAGATGCCAGCTACCTGGCCCACAGGCAGGTATGCAAAACTGAACTGCCCCGCTCTTCCAGCTGCTGTGGGATACTGTGTGAGACTGCCAGCACTGGTAAAGGCATTACTGTTCTCAAACACATACAGGAAGAAAAGCAGCATAGCTTTTTTTCTGTCCATGACTGCACAGACTGAGGTAAATACTGCCTGCCTTTTCCTGCCTTGAATATTCACAAAGCTGAGAAGTACCATCTGCCCTTTAGATCCCTAAGGAGCTGCACTTCTTTAAAACTCTGCGTGAAATGTATCCTACTGTGGGAGGAATGCCTATCCACTACAGATCTGTATTGTGTAACAGAAGTCACGGAATATATTGTTTCCAGAAGGGTGGAGTTAACAATAAATAACATCTATGAATTCTGACATTTTACTCTAAAAATAGATGAAGTGATAGAGTATTAATTAAACTAAACTGAAAGTCCCAGGGAACTGTCTGCCTCCAGAGAGGAAAGACAGTCCCCTGGTTTCAAGCAAAAGACAGACTGACATCCAAGCAAGCTCCAGTTGTAGTATTCAAGGCCACCAGGATCTGGATGTAGGACTCTGAGTAAACATCTTGCTAGCAGTAATCTCCAGAAAGAACAGCATTCTGATGCTGGACACTCCAGGTATTTCTCTGTTTTGTCAGTCCGCAAAATAGCCTACCACACAGTACAACATGTATAATCTTCTTTACTGCCAGTACTTCCTGATAGTAGCATCTAAACATTTGGATATTTAATTCCATGACTGGCTAACGATGTAACAGGATTACTGTGACTGTAGGCAGCAGTTTACACAGGACAGCAGAAACATGTTTTTCCTAGCATGGTTATTATTTTAGATTTTCCCATGCTTCTTTCTCCTCTTGAAAGAAGGTGCTAGAACTGTACTGGATCTATGCTGAAATGCAAGAAGTATCTGTTTTCTTTCTTTTTGTGTGTGAAAACTCATCCAATTACTTGTTTTTGTTCAAGCTTTGTAGAGTTACATACATCTCATTCAGAGTGAGAGTGAGAATTAATACTTTATACTGCTGCAGCAGGCTAAAGGGAAGAGGCCTGCATGAAATACAAAGTGTAACTGAATAATTTATATAGTTCATTTATAAAAAGATCACAATTGCAAGATGATTTCTTTGTTACTAATTTGTTTCTTAAAAACCTAGAAAAATGAGCACAGAAGTGGGTGAAAAGAGCTGCTTTGTTCCAGTTCTTTCGTGGCCAACTTGGCCTATTTTTGTTGATTCTAGTGGGAGTTACTGATATTTCCAGTGGAAGAATAAAGTCCACTCTCTGAGGTTGATTTGTATGGGGACAATTATAAAGTAATTTATTCTTCTAGGGGAACACTCTTACACTTTTCATGATGTTGTGAAACTTATTTAGTAATGATACAGAAGTCTGAGATGGTAAGTGCTGTAAATTGGAAAAGTAAACTGCTTTTTTGCAAAATAAAAGTTAACGAAGACAAAGTAAAAGCTGATCATGATTTTGCAAGTGTCTGAAGAGGGGAGTGGTTCTGCTGAGCTGTGCCTGCTATCCCACAGCCATTACCCTGTGTCAGTTCACTTACTGCTGGTGGTATATCTGAGGGAAGAGTACGACTTTGATTGAAGCCCATAAAAATTTTCTCTTCACACTGCACACACAGGATAATATGGCAGGGCCTTAATTGTGATGTGGGTTCTTTTGCAGTCTTTCCAGCTGGCATTTTGCAGCCCCCTTTCTTCAGTGCATCCCAACCCAGATCTCTGAATTATGGTGGCATAGGCATGGTCATCGGTCATGAAATCACACATGGTTTTGATGACAATGGTAAGGCTCCGAGTTTCTAATTACAAAACTTATAATTTTTTACATGCATTAGTGCTTAATCACTTCAAAGATCAGGCAAAGTGAAGATGACTTTTCCATATTTAAGACAAAATTTGGATTTCTGAGTCTTTATGGTATTGTTCTCCATGATGATTCTGCAAAAGCATAATCCGAAGAATCCTGCAGACACTCCTATAAGCTGCTGCTGAGCTGCAGCAACTGCCTAAGATGTGGGCTTGTGGCACACATGGGCTTTTAACATAGTTGCTGGTCACTTGCTTTTCCCAAAGGCTACATCAAAAACCATCACAAACCACAAATAATTGTGGACAGGGAGGGTCACTATGCTGGTACAGACATGAACTCACGGCCCTAGCCATGAGACCTGCTGCTCAGCCACACTGTTAATTTCTAGACCTGCACAATGGTCAATCCAGCATTGAGCAACAGGTCAGAACCATACCAGGCTTCCCAAGAGCCTTAATACCATCTGCTGACTCCATCTGAATTTGTTTGGTTTTTCTCCTCTACTGAAATATAACCCTCTTAGCAAAGAAAAACCCCAACCAACCAAAACCAAAACCCACCCAAAAAACCCCCTACCATCTGTTTACTTGCTACCCTTCTTACTGGATCAAACCCCTCTTTTCCTGTGTACATAATTCTGTTAACATACTATTACAGGCAGAAATTTCAATGAGAATGGAGACCTTGTAGACTGGTGGACTGAAGAATCGGCACGCAATTTTAAGGAGCTATCCCAGTGTATGGTGTACCAGTATGGAAACTTCTCATGGGACCTAGCAGGTGGACAGCATGTATGTCATACTTACTTGTAACTACCAAAATTATTTTTAAGCATATTTTAAGCATTTTAAGCATGAGGAAGCATGAAATCTTATCTCCTAAACATGCAAACCCTTTACATGAATGCTGTCTTAGCTTATGGCCAGTACTGTCGTGCCTACACCAAAAAGGAAAAAAAAAAAAATTGACCCCAAACGAATAAAGAAAGAAAAGAAGGGGGAGGGGAGGCAAAACACATTGTTAAAATTAAAGGTAGTGGTAAAAATGTCACACATACCCTGACTGTTTTGACAGAGGCAGGGCTTATCATTACGAACAAGTAGCAGTCCTAGAAGCCTTTGCCTAAGAAGCCTTTCTGGGCCATCAAATGCTCTTATGCTCTTTTTTAATTCCACAAAAAGAACAGGGTGGGGAAAAGAAACTTTGAACTGCACTTCCACAAAACTTCATGCACAAATGATATATATCCTCAACAGAACAAATCCTGCTTGCTGCTTTCCTTCACTCAAAACCTTCCTGCGCTTTCCCCCAGAGAACAGTCTGTACTACAGAGCAAAAGGTCTGAGAAGAATCAGGGTACAGCAGGAGAGCAAGAGGTGGTCTGCAGATTTAGGAGGCAGGCAGTCTAAATGTGACTGCATTTATAGCACTCTGTGCAGTTAACATAAGTAGGCATTCAGTGTATGTCTGGAAGCCCAAATTTAATGAGAACAGTTAGCAGATCAGTCTATTCTGTGTCCCAACAAGATCAATATTCCTTTTAACTCACTGAAGCAGGTGACAGTGATACAATTACACATACTGAACAGGAGATCGGTACTTTCCTAGGAAATGCAAGCTGCAAAACTGCCACTGGAAGGAGACAGCCCTGCATACACAATAGCACTTCACAGCACGTCATTTCAGGGATCTCCAAATGCTCTGCTAATGCACCTACATTGTGTCTTTCATTGTCTACAGACAGTTTAATCATCTTCACAGGCGCTCCCACCCTGCTCCCATAGAGATTTTACTGTCCCAGGCTGGCAGTGCACCTACTTCAGAACTACAGAGAACAGATTTGTACCACTATTACTACCTGAGCTGCCATTACTGGCAGCTGAGGTACATTCTGCACACCAGTTCAGTACTTAGTTCACAGTCCTACATCTTTCGCACAGCTAGTGACATGACAAGGGAGTGTCAGCCCCTGGATCAATGCTGCTCAGGAAAGGAAGTAAAGCAGTTTATGACAGGAGTTGTGTTGCACTGCAGAAGACTACTTACTACTTTTAACATCCACCTTGTTTATTTTGGACATCAGTGGATAACGCCACATGAAGCACCAGACTGTGCCACCAGCTGTTCTTCTATAAAGAACAAAATTTCTCTTGGATGGGATCTCCTACAGTTAAAGTGGTGAAAGAGAAGACACAAGAAGCTATTTCTCTGACTACTGTCTGGGTTTTTAGAGGCTGAGAATATTTTCTGTCATACAGAGTAGAGAAAAGGTAAAACTTCCAGCCCTGAGGTTTTTCCTGATCTGTGTGTTAAACTGTTAAGACTCATAGACAAGCCAGTAAAACCTGAATACATTAACATACTTTTCTGCCATTTTTTCCACACATTGAGTTCAATCTAATGACAATTGCAGGTTTTGCAGCTCTGAATATCATAGCCCAGTATCTTGGGCTAAAGGTTAAAAATACGGCTTTTAAAAAAAATTAAATTGCAGACTCTCCATTACCAAAGCATCATCATCTTTAATGACACTTCACTGACACTTTACTGACTTAATACTATACCAGCTAAATAAGTATCTTCTATGTATCTTCCTACCTAACTTGCCTAATACACAGACAAATACTTCCTAGCAGATTTGCTTTGCTGACAGCTGCTAACTGATCATTTCAGCTATTTGGACTTTGGATTTTAATATGCAGACTATACAGGCAGATCCTGTCCACTTCTTCTAACTGGAACTGTAGTAAGAAACTAAGCATTAAAGATACAATAAAAAATAGGAAGACTGAATGAATGACTAAGCATCAGAAAACCTGGGTAAAAGGGACAGGAGAGCCTTGAAAGTTGCCTGTAGCGGAAGGAGGAGGATAAGGGAAAACAACAGTATCTACACAGATTTTGAGACGAGATGCAAAGACTCTTCAGAGATGTTAACATAATTTTCTGCTAAAACTTCAAATTTTATGGTGTGAATTCTTGCCTTTCAAAAGTGGGAAGGGAAAAAATAAAAAAGAAACAACAACACCAAACCAAAAAACAACCCAATAGGGCATTACAAGGCCCTGGATAATCTCTTCTTTTCAGAAATGTGTACTTTTTCCTTTTTGTTTTACAGCTGAGTGGAATCAATACACTAGGAGAAAACATTGCTGATAATGGGGGTATTAGACAAGCATATAAGGTAAGAAGTACTCTTTTTTTCTAATTTTAGCTGAAATCATCACAGATTAAGAAAATTAATTGCAGACCCTTTGAAGAAGAAACATTATTTTTGTGTTGGGGACAGGAACGTACCTCCTGCATCATCAAGGCATGGTTTAAGACTGTTGACCAGCTATTGTATTTCTTTCCTCCTGTTAATTATTTCAGGATACATGCTACCTGTTCCTAATGTTCTCTTTTTCAGCTGACTTCTCTTTTATTTTTTTTCCATTTGTGAATAACAGATGTGTAGCATGAAAACATTTAATGAATCACACTTGGACCATCACCTAACTGCTCTGATGATACTGAGCAGCTGTCTGCCTCTGGCTATCTGTCTTCACCAGCTCTTTTTATGCCACAAAGGAGAGAATTACTTTCTTCTGATCCATAAATAGTCTCTGTCTACACTATTCACTGTTCAAAAACTGTTCAAAATATCATTCTGTATACAAGTGACTTCAGTCCCCTGTACAGGTATCCAAAGATATCAGTGACATCTGGAGTCCTAGTGCTAAGCCTTCTGTGGAAGCTTGCATGCTTTTTGGCTTTCCTTTCATTCTCTTATGAAAAACTCAGCTCCTTAGAGCAGCCAACTTTAACACTGAAAGCAAAAGCAGCAGGGGTCTTCTGTTTGTGACTGAGTTGGGAGGTAAGAAGCAAGTCAGGTTCTCTATGAACTCTTCCTGTTACCTGCAAACCTGGTGGTTGAAGGCTCTAACAACATGATCCTCTCTCTCCTTCCCCGAACACCTTGTTCTAAGGCAAAAATATTCAGCATTTGACAACCAGAGTGTTCTCATTCTTCAACAAAGTGCTGCTGGGACAGGCACACGCATACTTCTCAAAGTTATCATCACAGCTTCTGCAAAGAATGGCCATCAGCAACACTTAATTTACTAGAAATATACACATTTGTGGGCAAATACAATTATTAGTAAGAGTCTGAAGAATGATTTGGAAGCATAAAAGAGGTGTCAGTAGGGCATATTAGATTAGTCTAATCTTCAATTACTGGAACACTTATGCATTTAAAAAAACCCAACAGTACGAATCCACGAAAAGGGGGCACTCTTTTTGAAAGGAATGAGAGTAGCCAGAAAAAAACTAGGTCAGAAGTAGTATTACAACAAAAGAATTAGATACTCATAACTATTATTACATCATATGAATATTAAAAAAGGGTTCCAAAAAGAATCCTGAGAGGCCATCTACTCATCCCACCCCCCCCTCCTAGCAGGTAGAATCAACCATTTCTGTATCATTCAGACATACCGTATGAGCAGCTCTGCTACCTCCTCTTACTCCTTGAGTGCCATCGTGTCTTTCAACAGTGGAAACGGAGCAATCTGCTCCTTTCTTTTCTGTGACCTTTTTCATATTTGAACACTGCTACATACTTGAAAGCCCAGACTTCTCTTCTTTAGACTAAACAAACCCAGTTCCTTCAATCTTTCCTCATAGGTCATGTTTGCTAGACCTCTGCTCATTCTTGCTGCTTTCTTCTGGCCTCTCTCCAGTTGGTCTACATCTTTCTTAAAAGTGCAGTGCCCAAAACTGGTCAGAGGGCTCTAGCTGAGACCTGGCCAATGCCAAACAGCATTGAAGGATACTTCATAAGACACTTCTGTTTATACATGCCACTTGCCTTTTGTGTGATACTATGGCACTGCTGGCTCTTGTTCAGCTTGTTCCCACTAAACTTCCAAGCCTTTTCAGTAGACCTGTTAACCACTTCTTCCTCAACTTGCATTTCTACAGTTGATTGGCTTGCCTCGTGTTGTAGATTAGCACTGACTTTAGTCATAACATTTCTCCATTTTGTTAGCATCTTTCAGTAATGATATACTAACAACACATTGTTTGGCACATGGGCTTCATAAGAAACATGAAAGCAATTGTTCTTACTATGGAAAGCTTTTAAAATCTTCTGCAATTTGCTTTAAAACAAAACAAAATCACAGTGAAAAAAGAAATCTACTTTTATAATGCAACATTAGAGACTGATAAAATCCATGTCTTCTCCCTGCAGAGTCAGTTTTGTGCTAGTAATACTGAATTCCAGAACTCCGCACTGTGTACAGGGAAAGCAAATCTTACCATAAGTATGGTATTTTAGACTGTAAGTCAATAGTTGTGGGGAAAAATCATGTGAGATGCCACAGGTAGGCTCATTTTGGGACTGTGCCCTAGAAAGCAGCACAGCAGCATGCCTTTCCATGTGGAGGTACATACAGAGGGTAACTGGTAGCAATGCCTGACCCACAGGAGACAGGTGCTGCTGGTGAGTCTTCATACTGACAGCTTGGAACCCCAGCAGCTGGGAGGCTGGTTTAGCACAGAGCTTCCCACCTACCCCTCAGCTGATGTCAGAAAAATAACAATTATTTCTGTTATAGAACATATTCTACTTTTTAAAGACAGAACCACCTTGCTTTATGCAGTCATTTATTAACCCTATGAAAGAATTTCCTAGATAAATATGTAACAGCCCAGTGGAATTTAATACATTAACCTTTATAAAGCTCAGTGAAAAGCAGCACAAACTCTCAGTAGCTACTGTATTTCAGAACACAATTGTCCTCCTTTGCATTCTTAATTTTTTCCCCTGTAAGCAGGTGGGTAATTATGCAAAAATCTTGTTATTCCAAGTGTACCCATCTTACCGAAATTATTCCATTAGCCTTGGGGTTTTTTTGCTACAATAAATTGCCACCTTTAGACCTGTTTCTCTAACTATGTATTCCAATATAATTCAGGCAGCTTCACTAAACCTGCTGTAGAACAGCACTGTTAAGGCACATCCAATGGGAAAGCTTCCTTGGTTCAGTCAGGCTGCTGTTATCACAGTAATAAGAAATGTCCCTGTCATCTCCTGCTTAAAAGGTGGCACGTGGTGAGATGGGTGGCCAAGGTATTCCTTGAAGAAGTATGTCAAAGAATGTTCCTCCTTGTCATAATTTCATTTTGATGGTCCGTGCTGGAAGTTGTTAACATTTCTACTCGATTCATTCTACAGGCCTATGAAAACTTTGTGGAAAAGCATGGAAAAGAAAAACTTCTTCCTGGTCTTGAAATGAACCACAAACAGCTGTTTTTTGTGAACTTTGCACAGGTATTCTATACTTCTTGACTGAAGACTTTGAAAATCACTTGAAGGTACAGTTTAACAGTAAATCAGAAAGAACAGGCTGACCATAGTTTTACTAAGAGATGGCAGAGTTGCTAAGCTGGGCAGTGTTCACCACAAAGTAGAGAAAATAAATTACTGTTAGGTAATTTTTGTTATCCCTAGATACATTAATTCAGCCACAAAACAAGAGCAGGTCTCTTCCTTATCTTATAGCTAACAAATGCTTTTCTTTGTTATGCGTTTAGGTATGGTGTGGAACATACAGACCAGAATATGCTGTGAATTCCATCAAAACTGACGTGCATAGCCCAGGCAAATTCAGGTCAGCACATAATCTTCAGTGCACTTCCTAGGTGCAAGACAAATTTTAGCTATAGAATTTAAAGGACTTCGCACAAAAAGCTAGGGTGCACTTACCAGGGTAGATTTAGGCATGCACACGTATACAGACACAACACACTGGAGGTGGTTAAGAGAAAGACAGATAGTCTGTGTCATTTGATGGATGAACTTCCATCCTTCAATAAAGTCACAGGAAAAGTCTCAAGTTAATCTGTGAAGTTCAAGGATTTTAGTCTTCCAAGCATGGAAAAAAAATCCATCTTCTTTTAAACAGCAACACTAACATGAGAGAAAACGACCTTCTGTTAATGGCCTTTGCCATCTACAGCTAGAAAGACATTCTTCCGTTCCAGAGTGGAATGGTCTGTCTTTGCTATAACGTTGACAGCATTTCTCAGAATATCTGTTGCAGCCCAGGCCCAGAGCTCCACTGTGTCACAGGTGTTATACAAGGTCACCATTTGCTCTGTCTTGCAAGAGGAACA